TGTCTCCTCCACTCCAGCTCCTGGCTCTGACAGTGAGGCCCAAGCAGCTGCCAGCCGCTGGGCCTCGCTGATCTCTTCCCCCCCTCCCCAGGTCTCCTCCACCCCACCCGGTGGGGGGCCTCGCCGATCTCCTCTTCCCCCCAGCTCCAGGGGCGAGGCCTAAGTGACCTCGCTGATCTCCTTCTCCCCCCCTCCTGTGGCGAGGCCTGAGTGGCTTCCAACCGCCAGCCCACCAAGTTCCCAGAGCATTCCATGCGCATGCACAGGGAAGGCCCTTTTACTTTTGGGGGGATTTAAATATCCCCCCGATATTTTTTCAACTTTTTACATTTTTGTGCACACCTGGGGACTGCCCCACATGCGCAGGAAAATCTCTCTGCCCCCCAGGTGCCCCCGATGTGCGGATTTAGATATCCGCACGCAGGGGGCGCCTTTCGCTATTAGTATATAGATTACTTATAAATGCAAAAAAGTTGTAAATATGAAAGTTATAAAAGCAAAGGAATATATGCTAAAAATTTCTGCTGTACGGAATTTATTAGAGAGCCAAGCCTAACAGTGTATTTCTTTTCAAGTTAATCATCCTCAGAGCAGATTGATGCTCAAGCTATTCATAATGTTAAGAGTCAATAGACCATGCGATTTGTGGTACAATCCTAAACAAAGTTACAACCTTGGCTTAGAAATGGTGTATATCTGTTTGCATGGTTAAAATCTTAAATGCATCCTACGTTTTTAAGCACATAAAGGAGAAAGTAACAATGTAAAAATAGTAAAATAGTAAAAACAGTTGAGGCAACATTTTTTATCAGGGAATACAAAATGAACAGCCATTCTTGTCAACATATCTTGCAGAAGATTTATCTACCAAGGTTAAAGTTCTATTTATTCAGAAAAACCTATCTATTGATAGAAGTGTCATATATTACTAACATAATATGGTGATGCATTCACCAAGACATAGCAGTTGTTAACTTTTAAAACAATAATTCATTGTCTTGTTTAGAAACCACTCCTATTCCATATTAACCTAAAGTTTTGCCTTGAAAAATGATATATTTTAGATTTCCCTAAATGGCAGATTGCATTATGAGCAGAGGTCCATCAGTGACTATTAGCCACAAGGTATAGATAGGAACTCTCAGTCTGGGGCAAGTAATGCATTGTATTCTTGGTGCTTGGGGGGGGGGGCAACAGTGGGAGAGCTTCTAGTGTCCTGGCCCCACTGGTGGACCTCCTGATGGCACCTGGTATTTTTGGCCACTGTGTGACAGAGTGTTGCTCAAAACCAGTCAAATCTGACTCTATGGAGTGGTGCTCATCTCTGTTTCCAAGCAGAAGAGCCAGCGCTGTCCGAAGACTTCTCCGTAGTCATGTGGCCAGCATGACTAAACGCCAAGGTGCATGGAACGCTGTTACGTTCCCACTGAAGCAGTACCTTCTTGCAATTTCTTGCTTTCGAAATGCTAGGTTGACAGGAGCTGGGGCACCACCCCCTAGATGGAAAGCCTGAACACCAGGTCCTGACGTCACAGTAATGGCGACGATGGGAGTCCTAGTACCCTCGTTGGTCTCTTTCACCCGGGTTGGTTTTCTCTTTGCAAAAACGAGGGAGGCTTTTCCCGTTTCTGAAATAAATGCTAGGCGGCGCATTGAAAAGGGATCTGTGATTTATTTGTCATTTTTTTAAAAAAAATATTTATATAGAAAGATGTTGTTGTTCAGCTCTCTCTGGCCTCCGCACTTTCAAGAAAAGGGATCTGCGACCGACGGAGCCGAGCGAGCGGGAGCGTTTCCCCTGCTTCCTAAGCGACCGAGGGCTTTCTGTGGTTGTTGGGGGGGGGGTTTTGGTTGTTGTTTTTTTACACAGTGGCCGTCTTTATTTTCATGGAAGAAAGAGGTGGGTCTATTCCCCGAAGCTTCCCTCCCCCCCATCTTTGCAAAAGAGAGACACTGGGGGGGTGGAGGCTGGGGGGGGAAGCAGTTGCTGCTGAAATGGGGATGAGAAGTTGTCGGTTCCCTTGAATATTTGTGAATGTGGAGGTGGAGGCTGGGGGGGAGCAGTTGCTGCTGAAATGGGGATGAGAAGGAGTCTATATTTTCCTCTAATTTACTCAAAAGAAGTTCCATAGGAGGACTGAATGTTGTACTCTCTTGCTATTACAGTTGTCGGTTCCCTTGAATGTTTGTGAAGGTGGAGGTGGAGGCTTGGGGGGGGAACAGTTGCTGCTGAAATGGGGATGAGAAGGGGGCTATATGGGGGGGGGGGGGGGGGGAAGCAGTTGCTGCTGAAATGGGGATGAGAAGGAGTCTATATTTTCTTCTACTTTACACAAAAGAAGTTCCATAGGAGGACTGAATGTTGTACTCTCTTGCTATTACCGTTGTCGGTTCCCTTAAACAGTTGTGAATGTGGAGGTGGAGGGTGGGGGGGGGGAGCAGTTGCTGCTGAAATGGGGATGAGAAGGAGTCTATATTTTTCTCTACTTTACTCAAAAGAAGTTCCATAGAAGGACTGAATGTTGTACTCTCTTGCTATTACAGTTGTCGGTTCCCTTGAACGTTTGTGAATGTGGAGGTGGAGGCTGGGGGGGGGGGGGTGCTGCCTCACAAGGGGGGGAGTACGTTTGTGAATGTGGGGGTGGAGGCGTGGGGGGGGGAACAGTTGCTGCTGAAATGGGGATGAGAAGGAGTCTATATTTTCCTCTACTTTACTCAAAAGAAGTTCCATAGGAAGATTGATGCTAAGTGGTGCTTCTGATATTTGCCAGGCATTGGGAGAAATTTTCACCTTGACTCCTAATTATGAGTGGAGCTAAATAACATATGCGGAGCTATAAACAGCAGGGTAAAAATAACCCTTTTCTTTTCTTTTTTTAAAGCATATGCTTTTTTGGGGGGGGGAATAATAATTCCACCAGGCCAGAAAATGGAAGGCTGGATGCTGAAATGGACTTGAACAGATATGCTTTGAGATTATACATAATGCAAACTCTCCCACCCACCCGAGGCCATCATGTAGAAATATTTCTCCCCCCCTTTGTTTTTTTTAAATTTGTGTGTATGTGTGTGTGGGGGGGGTGCGTACATGCATGTGTGCATATGTGCCCATGCCTGGAAGTCATGGTGACCTCTGGCGGCAAGGGATGCTCTGTAGTCTTGGTGCTTGGGGGGGGGGCAACAGTGGGAGGGCTTCTAGTGTCCTGGCCCCACTGCTGGACCTCCTGATGGCACCCAATATCCTGTGTAGCTGTTCTTTTTTGGTAACTGGAGATTATGATTGAAGTTTACTGTATGTGAAGACATCTTACCAAAGTATGAGTTTGTGCATATGACTATCTCATGCTGTGTCAATGTTAAATAAAAAATAATACTGAAAACCAGAAGTTATTAAACTCTTAGTATTATTTGACAATACCATCATACAACAGACATCCACCACTTTCCCCTATTATATGCTTGTAAATTACACGAAACATACACTCAAATATGCAAGGGAAACTGAACTCAGTAACACTGTAAGCTAGTGTGAATACTGCAGTGAAAGAATCAAGAGAATATCTTGTTGAGTACACGAGAAACTGCAAGTTAAAACACTTGTGACAGTAGCTGGAAACTGCAGAGTTCAGGGACTGTTATGACTTCCTTTGATGACCTCACGACCTGGTGTTCAGGCTTTCCATCTAGGGGGTGGTGGCTGGGGCCAGAGATGGGACCTCACTTTGTCATGCAGCAGTAGGGTCTCAAACTGCCACGCTACAGATCTTCCAGTCTACAACTCAGTGTCTTAACCTCTGAGCTACCACAGCCCTTCCACAATCTAATGGACTTCAATTTTGCATTACAAACTGTATGTTGCAAAGGGAATCAGCAGTGTTTTGAAACACTGAATAAATATAGAGTACAACAGACTGATTTAAATCAACAATAAAAACATCCACTTTTTTCATTCATGTATTTTTTTTGGTAAGCATGCATACTAATTAAATTGACACAACAATATAGGCGTTCAGCTAAGTAGAAGGTTTATATTACTAAGGGAAATAATCTAAGACCCCTGGTCACACAGCCCACATGCCTTTTGTACCACAAGAAGATTGGGGAGTAATTAAGGATTTCTGTTTGCAAAAAAGATCAGATAGTGTCAATTTAGACACTGCAGCAAACCAGAGCTGGAAAAAATGATGCCTTACAAATCTACTTCATGGTTTTAGATTCTGGTTTGCCTGTCATGGTTTTGCCAATCTAAAATCACAACAAACCAGTCAAGCTTTCCAAACTATGTTTTGGCATCAGTTCTGAACTGAGACAATGTCTGCAATTTAATGCTCAAGATTTTCCAGACAAGAGGTGCATGCTACAGCTCAGACAGCACCAAGTTTTCCAATGAGATGGAAAATAAATGTCCATGCTGTTTTCTTGTTTATTTACAATATTTCTAGTTCACCTTTATCTGAAATGGCTGTAAGGTGGAAAATAAATCACTTAAACACCCACTAAGTTCTATATAAATAATGGTCATAAAAATCACAATATTAACGGTATAAATATTTATAATTTTTACAATAATAAATACAAGAACGGACTCATTGTGTCCTATTTAGAATGCCTGATCTCGTATTTTCTGCTCTGGTGCTTTCTTTTGCAGAGACTCTGATACCGGATCATGGCTTCACTTTTAAGTAACCAAGTATGTAAGACTTTAACACGTTTGTTTAAAATGAAATCTTAATTTAATAAAATAGTTACAATTTAATATAATACTTAATTAAGCACCTTGCTTACCTTTTATATAAAACTATTTCAACCACTGTTTAAATACTTGTATACATATGTAAGAAGTTAATAGTTTGTCTTTAGCAGACCTGAGGGTATTAAGTTCAGCAACTGCTACATGTTAACAGTTTCATTTTTCTTATCTTTCTTCATGTTTACTCATTATACATGCTGTGTAAGCATCCTCATTTTCGCATCCTCAAGAAGTAATAATGGCTTTCATGAGCAACTACTTAACAGCAGTTAATTGGCCACAGCACAGTTAGAGCAGGATTCTCATTATCCTCAGTTAACACTTGTTTCAACCTTACTTTTATGAGTACTCAAGCAAATACAAGGACATACTGGTTTAAAGTGGCATCACTGGGCGTAACAGCATGGCAAGGCAAACCCTAAGCGTTTATATTTTGATACTGATCATACTACTCTGGTCAATAATGTCCCCCATTCTGCATTAGCAAAATTCATTTCTCTCACTGATAATGGGTTAAAAAAAGGAGCAGTTGTGCAAGACGAGTAAATGCTGACTGGATACTGTAGCTTTGCAAACTCATAAAACCAAAGAAAGAAAGAAATATCAAGAGGAAACATACATCTCAAGTTTTATCTTCCCTGTCATTTTGGTTTGTAAGGCTACAAAGGAAATAAAATGTGGTAGAGATTAAAAAAAGAGCCAGTATTATTTTGGGCTTGTAAGTAACTTTTTACAAAAAAAACCACAACAGTAATCAGTAATGTTTGTGTAATAGAAATAAAATAAAATAGAAATAAAAGGAAAATAGCATAATAGTTGTGCAGCAGAAAATAGCTTATGCATTTTAGGAGTATAACTTTAAAGACTAGAGCAATTCCATTCAATATAATATGTATATTACATAAACAGGATGTAAAATTTTAAAAAGATTCTACATACCAACTACAGTAAGCAACATGTTGTCCAAGAGCAATGCAATGAAGACAATCAACAAGATTAGTTTCCGGGATTGCCGACTCTCTCTGAGCCAGCTGAGGACAGAGAATTCACTCCAAGCCATGGTTTATCTCCCCTTGAGTAATGGCTTAGACTGCAAACAAAAAAGGATATTTAATGCAAATCCAAAATAGAAAAAGCATAATCTCTTGCTGTTTTCATGGCATTCTTCTTAAGGGAAAGCACAATTCCTGATCTAATGCCACAAACGTTACCTGTGTCTATTCCATTCTCAGGCATAATAAGTCAGACTCCACTTTCACATTTGAGATCTGCTCATAATCTCTGGTCAAAGCAGTGTTTTTCTGTGATCAGCAATGAAAATTAAATGGTTCAGCTCTCAGCAATACTCCTCAGTATTACCCTTCCAGTTTACCTCCCAAAAGCAGCCATTTGCCCTTCTTGTGAAACTTAATACAAAAAGCCAGTCTAAGTCAACAGGATTTTAAAACAACAACAAAAATAGGGACAGGAGTCTGCTACTTATCTAAGCATACTAAAATAGAGGAAGAATAGAAACACAGAGATAAATGTTGCCTGAACTGATGTAAGTGTCAGATACCTCTTACTAGTATAGTCTGCCATTTCCCTTCTGTGTTAATTAATCGCTCTGTATATATTCCCTTAGGCAAAGAACACTGAGCACTCAGCACTGAATTTTTAAAAGTCTCCAATATGGACTGTGGTCAGCAGATATCAAACTCAAATGCATCATTTCCACTTTCTCAAAACTGAATCCTCTTTCATTCCTGATCACAAATATTCAGCATCCCAAATACTACAAATTAAATTTACAGCATGCAGGGATAGAGGAAGTTCCTCTTGATCAGGTCTGAGTACACCCAATACTCCCAACAACTTCGTGGTCTGATTTCTCACAGCTCAATCTTTTTAGTAATCGTTCATGACAACAGACAGTCAACTAAAGGAAGGTCAGATCACTAAGCCCCTTACCTAAAGAACCCCAGGGGAAAAAACGATCAGGTCTGAGTACACCCAATACTCCCAACAACTTCGTGCTCTGATCTCACAGCTCAATCTTTTTAGTAATAGTTCATGACAACAGACAGTCAACTAAAGGAAGGTCAGATTACTAACACATTTCATCTCAGAGCCCCTTACCTAAAGAACCCCAGGGGGAAAAAAAACCTCCCCAAGAATTGTAACTCCACTGCTGGAAGTTGAGCTGCACAGACAAGACACCGGCACAGAAGAAAACAAGAAAATAGAGTCAACAGGAATAGGACGACCACACTTCAAAGTAGGAGCAACCAGGACTACAGAGTGTCCCTCCTGCTACACCTAAGAGTAGGATAAACTGTGTCCTGGTTTAATAAACCTTTACTATTCAAGATACAGGGAGTCTCTCTTGCACAAAGGACACAGTGGGCCACAAGTTTTCAAATGCAGGTAAGCATGGTTGTTTCTCCAGTATATTTTAGTTTTCCTGCAATAACGTGATGGCAAAGATCCATGGAGTCTCTCTTGCACAAAGGACACAGTGTGCTGTTAGCCACAAGTTCCCAAATGCAGATAAGCATGGTTGTTTTTCCAGCATATTTTAGTTTTCCTGCAATAATGTGATGGCAGAGATCCATAAAAATGGGTTTGCCTTGATACCACCTTCCAAGTACATCTTGAATGTGAGCCTCCCCAAATATGGTGAGTGGTGCTCCCTTTCATAAGAACTGGTCCTGCCACAGATTAAAATGCATCTCATAATGGAAGATAAGGAACTAGTATGTTAACTAACTCATACTATTCCTCACTTGTGGCTCACTAGCCTTTTTGTTTCCTCTCACAATCCTATCTGATGGTTACAGCAGAGGTACTGAAAATCAAGCTTTCTTAAAAACCATGCACTCTGCCCTGCATGGTCTACCTCCTGAATCCTACCTATGTTGGTTGATCAACAGTGAACTAAAAGTACTCTGTACATGCTCAGAGGCACTGTTATCTTATTCCACACATCTCCAAGTCTCATTATTGGCACCAAAAACAGACTCAAATTAAATCAAACCATACTTTGGCTCCACCAGAACGTTTCCATGAGTGGAAGGATTTCTGCCCCACGGGGTGTTCCTTTCTCACCCCCCCCTTCAACTGCAGACCCAAATGCCCCTGAAATGCTGCTCCTGTCTCCTAGGAGTAGCATTTCAGGAGACATTTTGCACTACAGAGGTGGGGGGATCACGCCACCATGGGACTTCATCTGTCCACAGAAATGCTGCAGAGGATCCAAGGCATTGGTTTGCACTCATACTTTTTTCATTTATGTACCCCTACTTTCTCTCACACACACACATCTAGAAACTCACATTCAATCACTGCCTTACATGATAACTCCCTCCTTCAAGAAAATATTTCCAATTTTATGCAGACAACCAGGGACAAAAAACCATATCCCATCCCTCTTCCAAAGTGGTCACGGTCCTATGCACGTTTCTCTCCTTCGTTTTATCCTCACAGCAACGTAAGAACATAAGAGAAGCCAATGTTGGATCAGGCCAAAGGCCCATCCAGTCCAACACTCTGTCACGCAGGGGCCACCCTCTCTCGGTTATTCCTCCCTCCTCGTCAACTTGCCATCCTTCGCTGCTCGAGGGAAGGGGGACCAGGCAAACGAACGCAAGACCCTGGAGTCCGCCAGACCTCTGCCTCGCCCTGGATCTACCCTCGCCTTAGGCTGAGGAGGAAAAGCCGCCGGACTAGAAGGACTCAGAAACTGGCAGACTATGGGGGTGGGGGGGGGCGATTTCCGTTGGTCCTACCCAAAGTGACACCTCCCCCCCCCCACCCCGCGGCTGTGGGTTCTGGATTGTGCTCCGGACCCAGGCAGCTACCCGAAGGCTCTGCCCGCGTTATTCAGCCCCTGCCGCCCCTCGAGTCCCAAGCGCCCCTCGCCCTCCACTTTTCCCGCCCATTCTCCTCCCCGCGCCGCCTCCCACCTGCTCGGCGCCTTCCCGCCACAGTCTCCACTCCCCTTGCTGGCTTCGGAGTGGCTACGGTCTCCCGAGCTGCCCCTGCTCGCCGTCTGCCGCTGCCTGGGCTCCTCCAGCCACCGAGAGCCAGCAGAACTCCCGCACGCCCAGCGCCTCTGGGCGCCTCCACCGACCAGACTCCTCCTTGACGTCACGCTTGATCCTTATCGCTCCCCGCGACTCCTTTAGGACACGCTTTGCTCCAGGCTGGCCGGCCAGCCCACCCAAGCGCTTCCCTCCGGACTCCCTTCTTCCCCCTCCTTTTTTTTTGTTAAAAAAGTCCCAAATTTATGCTCTTCGCTTGCAGTCTTCTCGCTCCCCGGCTCCCCACAACAACTCAGACAAAGTGCCTGAAAAGTGGGCGAGGCGCGCTGCCTTCCAGGCGCCGGGATGCTCAGAGGCAGGCGAAGTCCCTTGGCAGAGCCGGGGTCATTTTGCGCGCGCCTGCTGTAGAGAGCTCCAGGCCGTCGTCGCTTGGACTGCAGATGGCCTCGCCGTCGCTGCTGCAGCTGTGCGAGGGATAAATGCTAGGAAGAAGGCAATCTGTAAAGAGGGCATTTAAGCCAGCTGCCCGTTGCTGGCGCGTCCATCTGCGACTCGCGCTGACACGCATCACGTCCCCTCCGTCACTTGGCTTAGCAGCACCTTCCCTTTGTGATACCCAGCGTGGCTTGTGCAAATACTTAGCGGCGGCGTTAAAGCACAAGTGCGTTTGCGTGAAAGCGAGCCTTGGTCTTTATTCAAAGTTAACATCTGTTTTTCTCCTAATTGAGGTGGCTTTTATGAATCAACTTTTTTCTTCCTATATAAGCTAAATGGGAACAAATACATTTACTTGCATGTTTTGTGTTAGGATCCAAAATATATTTGTCTGGAAGTAAAACCATATATTTCAGTGAGATTCCTCTGTGCCATCCTAAACAAGTCTGCTCAGTAGGTCTTACTTCTTAGAGAGTGCTCTTAGGATTGCACAGTATATCTGTCTAGTTACAGGTACCAAACTAATTAAATATGAGCTGTGTTTACAAATACATTAAGAACAGTGGTGGAACACCATTTATCTGAAAGGCAAAACATTCACCTTGAGAGAGGAGAGGAGGCAGAAAGTGAAAAAATCAAATAATCAAGCTTATCCCTTCCCCCACTAAAACTCTGCGTTTTTAAAAATACAAGTAACTGAGTAACTTCCACATCTTAACATTCAATGCACAGTTATATTAATCCATTTCCTTAAACTATTCTATTGTTGACTTAACTTACATCATTTCTACATGCAACCGGTGTTTGTAGATACTTCCACAGAGGAAGATAGCCTTTTCTGTTTGGCATACTTTCATGATATTTGAAAGCAACTGTTTCAGGCTTCAGGCTCCGCGCCCTGCTTGTGGACCTTCCTGGGCATTTGGTTGGGCATAGGAATAATGAAAAACGGGAATATAAGAACATAAGCAGAACCCTGCTGGATCAGAGCAAAGGCCCATCAAGGACACACGGTGGCCAACCAGCTGCCTCTAAGAAGCTCACAAAATGTTATTTATTGTATCTGATGGAACCTGCCCTGGGCCTGCTACGTGGGGAGGGTGGGATATAAATCCAATAAAATAAATAAATAATAAAATAAAGCAGGATGAGGGCAACAGCATCCTTTTGCCCATATTTCCCACCCGCTCATATAAAGAGGTATACTGCCTTTGTACTGGAGGGAGTAGATCGCCATCATGACTCATAGCCATTGATAGTCCCATCCTACATATATTTGTCCATAGTGGATAGTAGGCTAGATGAACATTGATCCAATCCAGCAGGCATCTTCTTTTGTTCATATGTTGTATAACCCAAACAGCTACATATTAACAGTGGGCAGGATTATTTTTGTCTATGAAGTAGCAAGGCCCTAACAGTGATATCATTACCATGTTTAGCCAGGAGGTTATTAATCTGAGTGATTTGCAGGCTACCACCAGTAGTATAGCACTAGTTCATGAGGAGTTATTTTGGAATGCATTAATTTAAAAACATCCAACTGAAAAATGAGAATAAATTTGCATGCTATTTGCATGTGGAAATCTCAGTTTCCAGTTTT